AGTCTGAGCTAGAAAAAGAAATCCATAGTTCTGGACTGAATATGAACCCAGTCTGAGCTAGAAAAGAAATCCATAGTCTGTAACTGCAATGAACCCCAGTCTGAGCTAGAAAAAGAAATCCTATTAGTCTGAAACTGAAGATGAATCCAGTCTGAGTTAGAAAAAGAAATCCATAGTCTGAACTGAAATGAACCCAGTCTGAGCTAGAAAAGAAATCCATAGTCTGAAACTGAAATGAACCCAGCCTGAGTTAGAAAAGAAATCCATAGTCTTGAAACTGAAATGAACCCAGTCTGAGTTAGAAAAGAAATCCATAGTCTGAACTGAAATGACCCAGAGTTAGAAAAAGAGAAATCATAGTCTGGACTTGAAATGAAACCCAGTCTGAGTTAGAAAAAGAAATCCATAGTCTGGACTGAAATGAACCCAGTCTGAGTTAGAAAAAGAAATCCATAGTCTGGACTGAAATGAACCCAGTCTGCATTAGAAAAAGAAATCCATAGTCTGGACTGAAATGAACCCAGTCTGAGTTAGAAAAAGAAATCCATAGTCTGGACTGAAATAAACCCAGTCTGCGTTAGAAAAAGAAATCCATAGTCTGGACTGAAATGAACCCAGTCTGAGCTAGAAAAAGAAATCCATAGTCTGAACTGAAATGAACCCAGTCTGAGTTAGAAAAAGAAATCCATAGTCTGAACTGAAATGAACCCAGTCTGCGTTAGAAAAAGAAATCCATAGTCTGAACTGAAATGAACCCAGTCTGAGCAAGAAAAATAAATCCATAGTCTGGACTGAAATGAACCCAGTCTGAGCTAGAAAAATAAATCCATAATCTGGACTGAAATGAACCCAGTCTGAGCTAGAAAAAGAAATCCATAATCTGGACTAAAATGAACCCAGTCTGAGCTAGAAAAAGAAATCCATAATCTGGACTGAAATGAACCCAGTCTGAGCTAGAAAAAGAAATCCATAGTCTGGTCTGAAATGAACCCAGTCTGTCAGCTAGAAAAAAGAAATCCATAGTCTGAACTGAAATTAACCCAGTCTGTCAGCTAGAAACAAGAAATCCATAGTCTGAACTGAAATGAACCCAGTCTGAGCTAGAAAAAGAAATCCATAGTCTGAACTGAAATGAACCCAGTCTGAGTCAGAAAAAGAAATCCATAGTCTAAACTGAAATGAACCCAGTCTGAGCTAGAAAAAGAAATCCATAGTCTGAACTGAAATGAATCCAGTCTGAGTTAGAAAAAGAAATCCATAGTCTGGACTGAAATGAACCCAGTCTGAGCTAGAAAAAGAAATCCATAGTCTGAACTGAAATGAACCCAGTCTGAGTTAGAAAAAGAAATCCATAGTCTAAACTGAAATGAACCCAGTCTGAGCTAGAAAAAGAAATCCATAGTCTGAACTGAAATGAATCCAGTCTGAGTTAGAAAAAGAAATCCATAGTCTGAACTGAAATGAACCCAGTCTGAGCTAGAAAAAGAAATCCATAGTCTGAACTGAAATGAACCCAGCCTGAGTTAGAAAAAGAAATCCATAGTCTGAACTGAAATGAACCCAGTCTGAGTTAGAAAAAGAAATCCATAGTCTGAACTGAAATGAACCCAGAGTTAGAAAAAGAAATCCATAGTCTGGACTGAAATGAACCCAGTCTGAGTTAGAAAAAGAAATCCATAGTCTGGACTGAAATGAACCCAGTCTGAGTTAGAAAAAGAAATCCATAGTCTGGTCTGAAATGAACCCAGTCTGAGTTAGAAAAAGAAATCCATAATCTGGACTGACATGAAAAAGGAAAACTAAAGGACCCTTTACATAACAGGCAATGTGTTAGACCTGTATTTTTATGGACTTGCCAGGACTCAATTGGTGATGAGGTCATCTTTATTTCCATGGACATTTCCTGGTATTAAATTTAGGGCTAGGTTTGCCTGGAAGTGGATTCAAACCTAAGGCCTTTGGGTTAGCAGGCATGTGCCTAGCCATTGCAATATCACAGCTTTCGCACATTCCAGAGGTGGACACTTGGAAAACGAATCAAGGGAGAATAAAATGATGATCATATTACTGGACAAGACTGGTTTAAAAGAGATAGAAGTCCAGGGACAGCTGCTGAGCTAAGTGCTTAATGTGACACTGTGAGCTGCAATTTCCTTTTCTGATATGCTCAAAGTGGTTTATATTGTGAACTGCAGATTCAGTAAATGGCGAGTAGCCTGTTGCCTCAGAACATGTTTGTGTTATATGACACTGTTTGTTCAACTGCTGATTTGTTGCAACTGCTACTTCCATCGATGATTAATTGCAAGTCTAGTGGCAGACTGTTTGTGTTGGTACTTCTTACAACTGCCTTATGCATTTAATATCTGTCTAGGCTACTGGCTTTGTCAGGGCTCTTTTTCACAAGGTACAGCAATGGTCGATGTCTTTGTCTCGTATTACTGGGGTACCGGGTTTGATCCCAGCTTCGGACAATTTGTCTTGCGTTGGTTTCGACAGTGGTACCAAGAGCTGACCGTTCAGTAGGCAATGGCAAACTACAGAATGTAAAATTTGCCTAGGAAAACCACACCAGCCAAGAAATGCTGGGGTTGGTTCTGCAACGTCCTGTAAAGGATACGCAACTAACTTTTAACAGTGATGGTCATTCTGTATGGTTTTCACTAGCAAAGGAACTCTTCACTAATGGGGTGACACATCTGCCATAAAGTTGAAACTGTGATTAACTGAGTTACACAATAGATTATAAGAAGAAAAAACATTTCAGATTGAAACAAATATATTAGGATGTTGCTGACTGATGTTCTGGACAACTTGATGTTCTGGACAATTAGACTAGACAGCTTGATGTACTCGATATTTAGACTAGGCTTGATGATTTAGACAATTAGACTAGATAGCTTGATGTTCTAGACAATTAGACTAGATAGCTTGATGTTCTAGACAATTAGACTAGACAGCTTGATGTTTTTGACAGCTTGATGTTCTGGACAATTAGACTAGACAGACTGATGTTCTGGACAACTTGATGTTCTGGACAGCTTGATGTTCTGGACAACCTGATGCTCTGGACAATTCGACTAGACAGCTTGATGTTCTAGACAGTTAGACTAGACAGACTGATGTTCTGGATAACTTGATGTTCTGGACAGTTAGACTAGACAGCTTGATGTACTGGATAATTAGACTAGGCGGCTTGACGTTCTAGACAATTAGACTAGACAGACTGATGTTCTGGACAACTTGCTGTTCTAGGCAACTTGATGTTCTAGACAATTAGACTAAACAGCTTGATGTTCTAGGCCATTAGACTTCTAGAAAACTTGATGTTCTAGACAGTAAGACTAGACAGTTTGAGTATCTGGACAGCTTAGTATTTTACCTCTCAAGAACTTCAGCTAGAATAGAACCACTACCTTCAGGCCAGGGAGCTAGCAGTAATAATGAGGGATTTCTTGTCATAAATCAATGATCAGATTCCCTTTTCACTGTCCAACATATACTAGCAATAGTAGGAATACATTGTGATTACAAATTAGATACACACATAAGTTCATGTACTCAGGTTGTTTCAGCATGCAGAGATAGAGACATAATATATGTTATATGTAATCTAGTTATATCAAAAGGCAGAGTTAGATAAATGTATAATTGTGTCAGCTTGTAGAGTCAGATTCATAAATGTTACATACTGAAGTAGTGTCACTATGTAAAGTTAGATACATAAATGTACAAACTGTAGTTGTGTCAATATGAAGAGTCAGATACATAAATGTGCGTACTGTAGTTGTGTCAAAATGTAGAGTTAGATAAATACATGTGCATACTGTAGTTGTGTCAAAATGTAGAGTTGGATATATACATGTGCATACTGTAGTTGTGTCAATATGTAGTCAGATACATAAATGTCTGTACTGTAGTTGTGTCAGTATGTAGTCAGATACATAAATGTCTGTACTGTAGTTGTGTCAGTATGTAGTCAGATACATAAATGTCTGTACTGTAGTTGTGTCAGTATGTAGTCAGATACATAAATGTGTGTACTGTAGTTGTGTCAATATGTAGTCAGATACATAAATGTCTGTACTGTAGTTGTGTCAATATGTAGTCAGATACATAAAATGTCTGTACTGTAGTTGTGTCAATATGTAGTCAGATACATAAATGTCTGTACTGTAGTTGTGTCAATATGTAGTCAGATACATAAATGTCTGTACTGTAGTTGTGTCAATATGTAGTCAGATACATAAATGTCTGTACTGTAGTTGTGTCAATATGTAGTCAGATACATAAATGTCTGTACTGTAGTTGTGTCAGTATGTAAAGCCAGATGCATAAATGTTCATACTGTAGTTGTGTCAGTATGTAGAGTCAGATACATAAATGTGTGTACTGTAGTTGTGTCAATATGTAGTCAGATACATAAATGTGTGTACTGTAGTTGTGTCAATATGTAGTCAGATACATAAATGTGTGTACTGTAGTTGTGTCAATATGTAGTCAGATACATAAATGTGTGTACTGTAGAGTCCAGTACATGTGTCAATATGTAGTCAGATACATAAATGTGTGTACTGTAGTTTGTGTCAACATATATAGTCAGATACATAAATGTGTGTACTGTAGTTGTGTCAATATGTAGTCAGATACATAAATGTGTGTACTGTGTTGTACTGTAGTTCAGTGTCAATATGTAGTCTGTAGTTGTGTCAACATGTAGAGTCAGATACATAAATGTGTGTACTGTAGTTGTGTCAGTATGTAGAGTCAGATACATAAATGTGTGTACTGTAGTTGTGTCAACATGTAGAGTCAGATACATAAATGTGCATACTGAAGTTGTGTCAAAATAGAGAGTTTCAGAATCGAGCCATCAAGTCCATATAACAAATAGCATGCCGAATAAGCAGTATCTGCACTAGGTGAACGTGCATAGAAACATGAGAATTTTCCCATGATGCTCATTTTCACAGATTATGTGGCTGGTGTTTTCAAATAATTCATCTGCTGATTGGAGGCATAAACATTGAATGCTCCGGTCTGTACATCAAGTAGTCTCTGAGAACGGTGGGGAGAGGAAGCATGCAGATCTTGTCATATACTGTGTGGCCAATGGAGTGTCGAATGACCCTACGGCAAGTCTGTTTGAGTGAAACTGTGGAGCTCATGATATCTAAAACTGAAATCAGGCTTCTGCGGTCGACATCAGATAAATGATCTTGTGCAAGACTGGCTTGAAACAATGGTCGTAAACTGTGATTGACATAGCCTAGCTGAGCCAGAAGCTGACAGGTTGGAAAGTGACGTCTTTCAGCTGCCATTAAAAAAAGTGAAACTCTTCTAGAGTCTGTCTCCAACAGACTTGTGTACTTCTGTATATCAAGGTCATAAGTTGCAAGCATCGTGATTGTGTGTCCTAGAGATGCCAGTATGTACTCTAATAGCTTCTCTACTACCTGGGCATATTTTTTCCTTTTTGCAAGGTGCAGAGCTGTTTCTTGCGTCTTAATAATTCGTTTGTGTATGTCACAACCTGCAGTCAGTAATTGCTGGACAATCTCAGTGTTGTTACAGTAAACAGCTTCTATCAAAGGAGTTCGGCCCCAAATATTCTGAACATCTGTACAACTACTTGAAGCCAAAAGGATATCAACCAGTTCTGAATTTCCATTCCTAACAGCGAAATGTAAAGCTAGCTCATTGTTAACATCTGTCACGTTAATGTCTGCATGAGCTCGAATTAAGCGTATTGCTGCCTCTGTCTTATTATTACGTACAGCTTTCATCAATGGAGTCTTGGCAGCAATGTCCCGGCTATTCACTTGGATCCCAATTCTTATCATTATATCCAGAACATTGTGGTAGCCTAGTTCGGCCGCATAGTGGCATGGTGTGTTGCCAAACACATCATGGGAGTCCAGCTTGGCCTGTGCTGTGATGAGAAGCTGCAAACAGCTGATGTTGTTGTTTAAAACTGCCATGTGGATGGGGGATCTCTTCAGCTCTTCACTTCTTTTGTTCACATCACATCCGGCTTCTATCAGAAATTTGAGCATGGTGGCTGTGCCGAATCTGGCAACCAGTCGAATGGGATTGCTGAGTTCATGAAGCTTGCTTCTCACTATCAGAAACTGATCATTTAAATCTCTTTTTGTATGCTGAAGCAGATGCCTGACTTCATTCAGGTTATTATTCAACAGAGCATCATAGAGTGCCAAGTCTTCTCTTTCTTCATTTGTCAGATATTCAGGACTTTGAAAAGGACGAAACATTGTAGATGGAGAATCTGTGTTAAACAAAGAGATACATGAAATATACATACAATCACAGGTCTCACACTGTTATCATCAAATAGTTAGCCCTTCAACTGGTCATGAAACTTAATTATTCCATTCTATAGTTGTCTGCTATTCTTTTTATTATAATCTATATTTGAATTGATAGATCCATGAAGTTTTAATCATTGGTCAACATCTGTGGCTTAGGCGTTGCGAACACACCTTATAATGTCAGGGTACCGGGTTCAATCCCAGCTGAAGGCAGTTTGTCTTGCGTTGGTTTCGACAGTGGTACAGAGAGCTGATCGTTCTGAAGCAATGGCAAACTACTGCCTAGAAAACCCACAATAGCCCCAAAAAAGTCTGGGATTGGTTCTGCAACATCCTGTAAAGGATACACAACTACTTAACTACAACTTGCCAGTACATATATTTTTATACTGCTTTATTAGAACAGAATGGAGAGAGCGACTGTGAGCCCTGTGTGGCATGCAAGGCACAACAGGATAATTATGATGGTTGATAAAAGTTGCTTCCTAACCATCTTGGTAATGGTAGAGAATTCCATGTCCAAGCTATAATTATGGTGTACTTTACACTACCAACAACATGTGGGTTGCTGTTTTTAGCTGTTCTTGGACACCTCAACTATGAAATCTTTTGCACCATAAACTGATTTTTTTTTTTAAATAGATTTTTCTGTTCCACAGATTCTCTAAAAATTGGCATCCCTTGTTAGTGACATAGATAACCTGCTGCCTGTTCCCTAAGGCACCTACAAGAATTTCTCATACCTCCTATAGTGAACTTGTCTCAAAGAACAAAACCAAAGGGGAAAACGTAAACACAAAACAAAAGTTTAGCAGTTTTGAACTGTCCAGCAATATACATTATATTGATTTATGAGATCTCAGTTTGCTGATTTTTCTTCAAGGCAGAACAGAATATATTTTGAAAATTAATGAAGTAAGTATTATTATCTTTACATATATAATCATTTATTTTTAAAAAATGTTTGATCTAATCGTCTGTCAGAAGTCTACATATGATAAGTGTATCCTTCATGTTGATATTGTTTAGTCTTTAACACGGCTATTAAACTGTCTTTACGGATTGCTATCTGATCTTGTCAGTAGGAGCCAGTCCTGCTCTGTGCTATGACAATTATTTTTTTTTTAAAGTTCAGTTCGGAGGCGCAGTTACGTCAACTTGCTGGAGAGAATGGTGCTGCGGGAGGTGGCAAAATGATCTGGCTAACGCTTAACACCGAAGAAGGAAAAGGTGTAATAGATATACAATCAGACTGTTACTGGTACCATCGAAATTGGTACTCTGTGCTTGTTGCTGAGGATGGGAACTTAGCACTTATGGGAGTTTCCCGGGTGCTGTAGTGGTCCTAGCTCAACATTCAATATTAGCACTAAAAATATTTACGTCTTTTTCTTCTTTTACAGGTTCACAGGCTGTAAACTCCAGCGAAAAGCTAAGGTTGTTCGTCCACCTCTGGACTGTAGTCATGTTCCTGAACCTGTGTTGCGTGCCCATTCGTATTACAGATCTGGCTTATCTGTATGCAGACTGTTGGTTCTTTGCCTCTCAGGCTGATGTACTCCAACTTCGAAAGAAACCTTCAATCAGTCGACTCATACAACACGCTTTTGGGAACGCAGTGAGTCTACTCCTGTTTTCCCTAACAGTGGGGCCCTGGATTTACTTAATTTACACAAGATAACATAATCATCTTTGCAGTTGCAATCTGCAAATGCAAATTACCGTCTATCTATAGGCATACATATAGTTCACATACTTTCTACTTATCATTTGTATGCTAGCGTAATAATACATACCAACGATTTACTATGTGCACTCGTTCCCGGGGGAAAACGAATCAGTTTAGGAAATACTTGAAAGAATCAGGTTATCAAACAAATATTTCACAAAACGTGTAAATTCACCTATATTCACGCGTACGGTAATGTTCGTTACTCGCGTGTATTTTCAAAACTACTATCGATGACGAGGGCGCTTTTCAGATTAACATAATATATATTTGGAATGGCCCAATGAATGTGCCGGCCAGAGAGAGCAGCGTTAATGACATGACACTACTCCTTACTCACGTTCACTCTCTCGTTCGCTACGTTAAAAATAGAAAACGGCTCAATAATTTGGCTATATGGCTGTAATACTAATGGCATAATAAACCCACAATTTAATGACAGGGTGTTAGTAGGATTATCTAAATATTCCTCATACTCATTCTGTGTGTGCCGTTAGATGTCACACAGTGCTGGCATTCGATTCCCCCACTCCGCTCTATCGCTTGCAGCTCTCTCGACATGGAGTTGAGCCCAGCGTTTTTAGCTTCTAGTAATTGTTGTTAACCCTTAGGCTCGGTATTATGGATATCGCAACCTACCGTAAATCTGGGAGAAATGTGGCTTTTCTGCCTACCCCCGGGAGGGAACCCGGACCACAAGGAGTTCGTTACCAGGTCACCGCGCAATCCGGTTTAGTTAACTACGCTAGAAAGCCGAGCTTCTAGTAATAGTAAGTAAAGGACCCTTTTCCACGCCTTCAGGCGTATTGGGTATATAGGGCTAGGCCTATATTTTATAGACCAAACGGCACTTGGTGGGGATGTGATCAGCATCACGCCGGCCGCCTTTACTTCCCAGGACTACACATGGTACCAACTCACAACTTGGTCGACCTGGGAGCCACGGTCATTTTCGAAAAAAGTCCGCCTCCTCATCCTCTCTCAGTAACCGAACCCACGACCTTTCTATCCTTCTCGTATTAGAGGTCTTCCTAATGTTTCCTTTGGATATCCTCCTGATCTCAGGTCGCTTGTTTCCCATTTTAGTACTTTTGTGTGTGTGGTAATTCTTTGCTCATTTTGTCACAGAGTAAGTCCAATATATTTCCACCTTCTTTGGTTTATTGCAGTGGATACACATTAATTAGGAAATATTCATAGTACTATTGAAAAATGTCTTCCATTATAATGACCCAATGTTAGCAAATTTATTGAAATATTCATAGAACGATTTATATCGTAACTACAAGCCAAATAAATGCACTATTTGAAACAGTACACATTAACTATGTTTCTCAGATTAACGGTTGCACAATATATAAAATAACAAATATATACTCTGAGAACTCGATGAACACTATAAATCCCAAATATAACTACATACTACCTACCTACCCAGTGATTTCTTTGATAAAACCCCAGTCTCTTTCACATTGCAACTCTTATACCGTCGTCAAAGAACCACTGGAATAGTTTTTGTCCAATAAACCATCCGCCCCGGAAATCTAACCCAAGTACTCGAGAATGTGAAATTGTTGAACGTGTTCACTACCCTTTTAGCTACAGGTAGCCAAGTAGCAGATACTGCCGCAGGGTGTGAAGTGTTCATCATCATCATCCTGTCACACTGTGTGCCCTTGGGTCACCAGGTGCTGTTGACCGCCTGGACGGTCGGCCCCCTGATGCCACTGTCGAAACCAACGCAAGGCGCATGGCCCGCAGCTGGGATCGAACCCAGTACCCCGGCATTGCGAAGCGTTCGCATCGACTTAGCCACAGAGCCGACTGTCAACTAAAGCCAGTCTCATAAGAATGTATTTTGGCAGACGTGATGCTACCAGTGCCAAACATGAACCCTTACTACAACTAATGAGCGGGAAATCGTACACAGAGAGAGGAAATGTCTTAGGAGAGCTGCCGGTGTGACAAGAAGAGATAAAATCAAGAATGAAGAAATTAGAAGAAGACTAGGATTGAAACCAGTCATACAGTTTATTAAAGAACAACAAATGAGATGATGTGGCCACCTGTCGAGAATGCCCTGGTGCCAACTGCCAAGCTGAAGAAATATAATGAACAGAGCAAGGGGAAGACCACGCAAGAAATAGAACGACATCATCAAGAGCAACCTAATAGAAATGAACACTAACTTATACAATGCACTGGGAAAAGCGCACAAACTATCCTTACATCTCCCCCCAACACCTCGATGAGGTAAATGGTGGAAGAGAAGAAGAAGAAGAAGAAGAAGAAGAAGAAGAAAAAGAAGAAGGGGGAGGAGGAGAAGCTGGTGTAATTTAAAACAGTAGAGGCCTAGAGACTTAATTCAACCAGCATCCCTCGAAGGGGGAGCTTTAGATTATAATTGTGACTAGATTGTGTGCGCCATGTAAAATGGCTTAGCCTAATTCTAACCCTCCCCGCTAACATTGCACTTTCCCGGGAACTCCCCCCACAAGATGGGGTGAACTAAAAAAACGTACGTGATCTAATGCTAAATTGTTTGCAACAAGGCTACCTTTCTTGTTGTTCAGCCTATCTGGAGGACTCCCAGGTTTTTTGGGAAGTTTCCGGGAAAGTCCAGTATTGTAGGAGGTTTACGAGTACTCTCCACGAAATCTTTAAGAGTCACCTTGAAGGGGTGAATTAAACGAAAAGGGCCGCAACAGGACTAAACCAGGTATTTCGGAATTACGAGACGCATTTACAACGCCAAAGCCATAGACGCCTACTTCATCGTCTTAATGTAATTTGGCGAGGTTCCAAACAACAAGCGCCGCATTAGTTGTACACAAGCTTCAGAGTTAACCTGACCTAGCAGACGCCGGACACAAGGTGATTCTTTCAGTGTGCTTCTTCTATGCACACACTGAGGGGAAGCGAGCGCACAGAGAGACTAGCCTGGTTACAAAGCTTTCCCCACATCCAGTCGCAGAGCACAACAAACGGCTCTCTGACGACTTTCCCATGCACACAAGCACTATCGTTCTTGCTCATCTCTTCCCACTCGACTGTGCTACGGCACATAATGCTTTCTTAAATCCTGGCAACGGGACCTGGGCTAGTTGGAAGATATTCTAAAAATATCCCAAAGAATCGATGTAAATAACAGCACATAACTTTACACACACTAGAGTCTTGCTCGCCAGCCCTGAGGTTTTGAGGTGGAACCAAC